ACAAATTTTAAATTCATGATATATGCTTGTGTGGTGTATGCTAGTAGTAGAACTTGATTGATGATTTGAATACTAGCATGCATAGGTGATAGCTAGATATACTATTGTTTTCACAAGTGGTACTAGAGTCTTGATTCTAATGTTGATCTCATGAGGTATCTTGTTTGTGTTTATTTCCCAAGTCGTATCTAGCTAACCATGATGCTAAGGATGGTGTATATTGGCAACTCCGATTGGTATCATGCTTCAAAAGTCCATTCTTTACACCGTAGCGTCATTCGGTAGACATTACTCTCCCATAATTCAAATCCATGCATGTGTGCAAGCTTGAAACCAAACCATTTGCGCACACATGTAGGGGGAGCTAATGCTATCAAAATCAAATTTGTGGTGATTGTCCAATTCTATTCATGAACAAAAAGCTTGGGCACGGAACTCAAATTCAAATCTTAATTGAATATCTATCTTTGTGAAAGGTTGTCATCAATTACCAAAAAGGGGGAGATTGAAAGCCCAAGTTTGGTTTTGGTTAATTGATGAAACCTAGTGGACTAATCCTTTGTCAAGTGTTTGATCAAAATAGGATGGTCCAATCCAAGTGGTGGAGCTAGATGATGGTCATGGTGAAGGTGATGGCCAAACGATGGATCAAGTGCTCCACATTTGGAAAAGAAGAAAGAGAAAAACAAAAAACCAATGTTGATCAAGGCAAAGATATAAATAGGTTTTTGTTTTGGCACTCAAGACACCGTATAGGGTGTGAGTGTGCGTATGAATGATAGCCATACTATTAAGAGGGGACAATCTCGGTTAAAACGGTTATCAAGTGCCACTAGGTGAATTCATACTTGCATATTCATTAGGACCTAGTGTGCTGACAAGTAACCCTTGAAAAATGCTTTGAAAATATGCTAACACATGTGCACAATGGTGATACACAAGGTGGCTAGCACTTGGGAGCAAAGGTGATGAAGTTAGAGAAGAAAAGGAGGTCACTAGGGTGACCGGACACTGTCCTCAGGAGGACCAGACGCGTCCTGTACATTACCCTAGCTCATCCCACATGGCTAAGGTGACTGGACCCTTGCAAAGAATCAGGACCAGACGCGCTGGGCACACTGTTCTCGCGTCCGGTTAGTATGATGTAGCCCGCGAGCGATGAGCTCTGTGTGGACCGGACTCAGTGGCGTGTCTGGTCGCCTGGACAGAATGCGTCCGATCGCTATTCAGAGGCTCTGGGAGCTCTCTGGACTCGACCAGACTCTGCCTGTGTCCATGTCTAGTCAGATGAGAGGCGCGTCTGGTTGGCATGGCGTGGCAGCGTGTGGCGAGATAGAGAGGGATCGGACTCTAGCGCTAGTCCGGTCAAGGCGAGCAGACGCGTCTGGTCGTGCCAGGAGCTCTCTGGACTCGACCGGACTTGACGTGGGCAAGTGACCGGTCGCTACTTAATGTGTGCGTAGCTTGAGTTAGCCGTTGGGATCGAACGACTATCGTTAAACGCGAGGGACGCATCGCAGCATCTAGGTGACCGGACTCGACGCGTCCGGACTCGACGCGTCCGGACTCGACGCGTCCGGTCACCTCGCAGACAACCCATGAAGGGGCATAATGGCTTGTCTCTTTGAGGGGGTTCTATAAATACTTGTTGGCCAGCTTTGGGGAGTATCTCTTGGCATTTTAACATACTTTACATCCCTTTGAGCTGAGCATACTCCCTCCCACTCATCTCCTTGCTTGATAGTGCAAATCAAAGTGAGATTGAGTGATTCCAAGTGCTTGTGCTTGTGTGATTGCATCTAGTGGCACTTGGGGATCATTTTGCTGTGGTTTTCTTGTTACTCTTGGTGGTTGCTATTACCTAGATGGCTTGGAGTTGCGGAGGAGCATTGGCACATGTTTGTGATTGTTTGTGGCCATCTCCTGGTGATCTTGTGAGGGCTTCTTGCGCCTATTCCCTGCGAAAGTTCATGAAAGGTGACTCTAGTAAATTGCTCGTGTCATTGAGTTACCCTCACTTGTGGGTAGGTTCTTGTGGAGCCCATTTGTTGGGCTAGGTTTGTGAAACACCTTTTAGCTGCCGAACCACCAAATGTGTGGTCGACATAATGGGGACTAGCTTGCCGGTAAGCAAGTGAACCTCGAGAGAAAAATCGATGTGTCATATTGTCTCCCTTTGTATTCTTGGTATTCATATTATGATTGATTGTCTCTTGCTGGCATTGGTAACTATCTCTATCACTTGCATTTCTCTCATATATATTTGTGTAGTGGTAGTAGTAGTTGCTAGTAGTAGCTCTCTTGTGTAGTATAAGTGCTAGCAAGCTTGCTCACTTTCCTAGTAGAACTAATTAGTTCTTGCTAGCTCACTAGTGTAGAGAGTAGTGACTTGGACATTGATTGACTTAGAGATCATACTTGACTAGAATTGATTGGATAGGTGGCTTGCAACACTTAGAAGAGCTAGAGCAAAAAGCTTCACTTTCTAATTAACTAATTAGTTGCTCTAAGTGTTTTGTAGAATTTTTATTAGGCTATTCACCCCCCTCTAGCCTTTTAGGACATTTCAACGCCCTGAGAAGGGTTGTGCCCAAACCATGGCTATCAAGCCAGGGTGGAGTTCATAGCTAGATGAATGGTTTGGTTTTGAAGGTGGCTCAGGGAACTCGCACTTTGAAGCGGAAAGGTTTTGATATGAAGTTGGCTTCATGGTGAAAAGGACAAAAGGAATAACTATTTTGTTTTTATGAAAATAAAAGATATAAGATATGAGGATGAACTAAGTTCAAAGAAAATACAGCAACCGTTCCCCGATAATGGCGCCAGAAATGCTTGTTGGTATTTCTTAACGCATACAGAAATAATTCGCAAGCGCACGGAATTGCCGTTGTAGCACTTCACCTGGAATTATTCACGGTATCATATTTTCCACAGGGAATGGAGGTACTCTTCTAGATAGTTGATCCAAGGACAACACAAGGATAGAGTTGGTGAGGGTAGAGATGGATTCTTTTGGTTTTAGGGTCTATGGATAGATAAACTCTACTTCTACTTGCTTACTTCAGGCACCGGTTATCACCTAGTCTGCCCAGCAATGCCGGCCTATAGCTCTTTGCCGAACCAGAACATGGGGGATTACAAGGGATGGACAGGGCTATCACCACCTGCCGCCTACCCCTCAATTGTGGGGCATGAGGCAAATAAAGGTAGCCTCTAGCCTAGACACCACATCTATGTTATCGACTACTACTCTAGAGTTGCGCAGGGTTATCCATCTTCATTAGGGCCCTCTACTAGAGTATCTGTTATAAGAACGGACGATGAACCCGCAAGCAAATAAGAGTAAATCTTAGCTAAACAAAGACTTTATACCAAAAGAACCACGAACACTTAGTGAAAATATTCCATCAAGGTATGAAGCAAGTGTTCATCGAGGTACAAGCTCGGGGAGACTACCAACAAGTTTGGCACTTCCCCGATCTTCCCCTCACATCTCTCCCTATCAACTCTAGATCGCTAACTAAAGCCTAAGCCCTTGGAGTGGACCTCTTATTCTCAAATGTGGTGTTGCTCTTCTTCCTTTGTGTGTTGTTTCTAGGAGGGGGTGGCCTCCTTTTATAGGTCAAGAGGAAGGAATGATCCCATTGAATATTCTCCTCATACGTGAGCAAACCGACCTCCAAACCGACATCTAGGCACATTGCATCTGGACCAAACCTCTGGAATTGCCTTTGGAACATCGGTAAGAAGCAACCCGCGAGAGATGGGCCCAAGGCATGCCCATAGGGGGTGCGACCGCACCCTGGCAAAGCCATTCCGGCCCAATCTTTGTCTGGTGGGCCTTTGTGAAAAGGAAATAAAAATGGGAAATATATTTTTGGGTTGGTTCTCTCATACCTTGATCAATTGTACCATCACCCACAATTTGTGATTGAATTGTGAGTGATACAATGTAGTTGTTCCGTCACACATGTTGGTTTTGTTTGCTCTTGACGGTGACCTTCTCTTCATCTGCACATGATTAGAATGTATATACTTACCTATGAGATGGCGGGGTGGAGGTGTTCATTGTTCATGACTGATCGGGCACCCTAGGCTCATGATGATTCTCCCTTTTTTTGTGGAAATGTGCTGGAAGGTCAAACGGCCGGTGTTGTCCTATTTATTCCACACTCAACAGGACAAGGGTAAGCCCACAAAAGCTAGTAGTAAACTAGGTTAGTGGATATCAAGGTAAATATCAAAAATCTTTATGCCAATTGCTTCCCCAACAACGGTGCCAGAAAGCTTGTTGGTATTTATTAATGTAAACAGTGACATCTGCAAGCACACAGATACCGTTGTAGCTTTCACCCAGGAGTATTCTAGGGTATCGCGTTTATCCTCAGGGAACCAATGGTTAAGGAACTTGATAGTTGACCCTCATGTATCCACTAACTAGTATACCATCTAGACTAATGTGGGGGTAAGTGATAAAGATAGGAGTTTTGTATAAACAACACACAAGAGAACTCCAAAGTAAGATAAAAGAGTAGACAAGCTAAGCTGGGAGGACAACAGGTGAGTTCAAGGTTCCTATACACTTATCTATTACTATGGTTCTATTCTAGTTCATACTAGAGAAGATAACTAGGCAAAGGTCAGACATAGCGATCACACCAAGAACACTTTGGAACCGTAGTGCCTTTCCGACCCTCGAGGGGGGTGAGAAAGCATGGTCGGGTGAAGGCTGCCAAAAGCTCTACGAAAACACCAACCCAAACATGGTGGATTACAAAGGCCTGGTCAGAGCTGTCACCTCTGGGCTACCACAACTATCCATGGGGTTGGGTGCAAACTTAGGTAACCTATAGTCTAGACACCACGTCTATACTATCGATTACTACTCTAGCCACATATGATAACTAGAGCACTCGGTCGAGCAGAGATCCCATGCCAAGGTGTAAAACCAATATACTAACCAAACTTAGCTAACCAACTAAGGTGTGAACTAGATAACCATGAAGGACATTTCAGTAATTAGAGAAGATAACAGTGTTCGCCTACACGGCCGTGTAGGCCGATTACTCGCCGTGTACACGTTACTCAGCAGCTTTGCGTGCAGTTTAGGCCATAAACGATATGGTACACGGTCAGTCCGTGTAAATGGTCAAAAACGGTCCTACACTGACTGCACGGGCGACACGGTTCAGAGCTGACACGGTTCTACGCGGCGAGTGAAGCGAGTAGGAGGACGTTTAGGCGATTGGAGACATTTTGGCAGCAGAACGAAAATTTTAGACCTCGTCTCGCGTGCATCGGCCCAGTCAATTGTGATGACTATAAAAGCCAACCTGTTAGGGTTTGGCCTTTCTATCCCCAAAACATTTCACAGCCGCCGCAATTTCCAAATCCCCTGCACGGCTGCACACACACCGTCCGCCGTAGCTGCTGCGCCCGTCGCTCCTTCGGCCGTCGCCGCCACTCCGGCGGCTGCCCCTGTTGCTGCATTCCAAGTCTTCCTCCACCCCATTCTCCATCCAGGTCGAGCTCCTCTCTGCCTCTGCTGTCTACTCCAGGTTGAGCTCGTCTGCATCTCCAGCACAAACAAGTTAAGTGCTCCATGTACTCTCTCTGATTTATGCTCCAGAATGTACATACTGTGCAGTGCATACTAGACTACTAGTACTAGAGCTCCCTTCTCCTCTCCAAAAATCAATTGATATATCATATATGCTCCGGCGTGTGTAGATGCAGACTAGTACTAATGTTCCATTCTTTTCTATAGAAATCAACTCATATATGCTGTGCTCTAGCATGTGCGTACTAGTAGGCTGGTGTTGTTTTGTTCTCCAGAAATAAATACTGTGTGCTCTTGTAAAGAATAGAGATTTTTGTTTAGAAAAAAAGTTTAAAGAATAGAGAAAGGGATTGCAAGAATTGCTTTGTATGCTACAGTTCCAGATGCATTTGTTAAATTAAATCACTTAATTATGTTAGCTGTGGCCGTGTTATTATTTTATTATGCACTTAGGCTATTAGATCTGGCATTTAGGTTCCTAATTCTGAAAGTTTGAAATATGAATATAGCAAGTACGCAGTTAGATGCTTCTTGTCACCTATTGTTCAGTGGCAATGGCTCTATTCTGTACTTTACAGTTTACATGAATGTTCTTGTGCCCTGTGCTGTACAGTGTACACCTGTACTAATAATTTATAATTTGTGCTATGCTATTTTCAGGATGTCTTCAGCTGCATCTGTTCCTTCCATAAACCCTAGCAGTAGCCTCAAGAGGAACTCAGGTGACATTGGGTGGGACTATGGAGTCCTGGTGGACCCTAACAACCTGAATGTGATCAAGTGCAAGTTCTGTGATCTTGTTGTGAGGGCGGGGATATATAGGTTGAAGCAACATGTCGGTGGGATTAGTGGTGAGGTTAGACCTTGCCTCAAGGCATCGCCTGAGGCCATAGACAAGTGCAAGAAAGCTGTTGATGACTCGAAACAAGCTAAGAAGGCAAGGCAGGAGGAGAAGGAAGATGTCAGGGATGTTGTGATCCTTGATGATGGTCCAGATGTTGAAGATACCACCATCAATGGAGAAGGGCTTGATGATGTTGGAGACTCGACACAACGCAAGTTGGGGCCTATGGATAAGTTTACATTGCCTATGGATTCTAGCTCATTGAGCAACACAAAACTGGTGAGGCAACAAAGAATCACTGAAGCATTATGGAAAGAGAGAATGCATGCCTTGAAGAGATATATTGCAAGATGGGTGTATGTGCATGGTAATAAACTGGTCCATTGCTCCATTACTGAAATAAATGTTGTAAATTTCTGGAGTCCTAACCTTGCTGAATTATTTGTTTCTAATGTCTAACCTTGAATTCTTGTAAATTTTAGGAATACCTTTCCATGCCATCAACAATGAAGAGTTTGACCAATTGCTAGAAGCTGCTGGACGCTTTGGCCCTGGTGGACAGAAACCAAATCAGCATGAGCTGCGGGAGAAATTATTGTATGAGGAAGTGGAGGACACAAAGAAATTGCTGAAGCTACAAGAGCAAGAATGGGCCAAAAATGGGTGCTCCATTATGACTGATGCATGGACAGATCAGAAGAGGAGAAGCATAATGAATATGTGTGTCAATTGCAGCATTGGTACAACTTTTTTGGAATCAAAGGAGGCCTCAGCTGAGTCCCATACTGGAGAATTCATCTTTTAGTATGTGGACAGTTGTATTGAGAAAATAGGTGCTGAAAAGGTGGTGCAAGTAGTCACAGATAATGCCTCCAACAACATGGCAGCGAAAGCCCTGTTGTCTGTGAAGAGGCCCAATATATTTTGGAGCTCATGTGCAACACATACTCTCAATTTGATGCTTGAAGGCATTGGGAAACTGAAAAGATTCAAGACCATCATTGATCAAGCAAAGGCACTGACCATCTTTATCTATGCACACCATAAAACATTGGCTTTGATGAGGAAATTCACAAAAAAGAGAGACATCATTAGGCCTGGTGTGACCAGATTTGCTTCCTCTTTTCTCACCTTACAAAGCTTGTATGAGAAGAAGAATGAGCTAAGGGCAATGTCTCAAAGTGAGGAATGGGAGACAATCAGTCATGTCAAGAAGACCCCAAAAGGTGTGCAGGCCACAGCCACTTTGGTGAAACCTAATTTTTGGGCTGGTGTTGTTCTTTGTATGAGAGTATTTGAGCCATTGGTCAAAGTACTTCGCATGGTTGATGGGGATGTGAAGCCATCAATGGCTTCTCTTTATGGAGACATTCTTAAGGCTAAGAAAGATATCATGGTGGGCTTAGGGAATATTGACAAGGCTGGGACTCTCAATCTATACAACAATATCATAGAAATCATTGATGAGAAGATGAAGGGCAGGTTGGATAGTCCTTTGCACTTAGTTGCATACTTCTTGAATCCCTATTATAGCTACAATGATTCTTCCATCTTTGGAGAAGAGGAAGTCATGGATGGGTTCTTTACAGCTGTTGAAACTTTTTATCATGGTGATTATGACAAGCAAAATCAAGTCCTCAATGAAGATCTGCACAAGTTCAAATATCAAACCAGCCACTTTGCAAAACCTACAGCAATGGCTGGCTGTAAGGATTATAATTTCTTCCCAGGTATGCAAGTTTGTAGTTTATTTTAGATCTGAAATGTTGTATCTAAATTTCTGGTTGCATGTTTAACACTGTAACAGTTATACTTGATTACTTGTGCAGCCAAGTGGTGGGGAAATTATGGAACACAAGTTCCAACTCTACAAAAGATGGCTATAAGGATTCTCTCTTTGACTTCAAGTTCCTTAGACTGTGAAAGAAATTGGAGTTGCTTTGATGGGGTAATTCACTAAGTCTCCAAATCTTAATTAGTTGTGAACTGCGATAATTTTTGTTCTATCCAACAATTTAATACTTAAGTGCACTTGTGAATCTAAAATTTGTAGGTTCATACCAAGAAGAGAAACAGGCTCACTTGTGAGAGAGTTGAGCAACTTGTCTATGTTCGCTTCAATAACCTTCATTCAAAGAAAAAGGCAAAGGCAAAAAAGAACAATAAAGTAGATCCTCTAGTAGCAGCAAATGCAACTTGTGCCCAAGGGTGGATGGTTGATGGTGGAGATGATGACAACTCTGATGTTGATGCTGTTACAGGGCTAACATGGCAGCAAATTGTAGATACATGTGGGCCTGAGGAGGTAACAAAACTACATAGGAGCGCAAGGTTGGCTCACCCGAGACAGATTGAAGAGGATGTCCAATCTGAACCTGAAGAGCTACCAAATGAGGAGGAAGAAATCGAGTTTGAGTCTGATCAAGAAGAAGTGGTCACAACTGGTTATGAGCAAGATCATGACACCGCAAATGATGATTGAGCTTGAGGCCTTAGGCCTTTTCATGAACCATTCTATCACTTAGTTAATTTATCTTTACCAGATATTCCTAAGAACTTTTAGATGTTGATGTATTATTGTGAGAACTACGTGTTTATGTGTGTGTGTGTGACTACGTGTCTATGATGCTATGCATGTGAGAACTGAGAACTGAGAACTATGTGTGAGTGTGATTGTGCCATTTAGTCATTCACTCATTTGTCATATCTGAGAACTGAGAACTATGTTGTTAACCTGTCATGTTTGTGAGTGTGCTGTTAACCTATCATTCACTGATTTGTATTCTTTATTATGTTGTAGGAGTAGGAATATATTGATTTATGATTACTTACATGTCAAAATAGTTATTTTTACAAATATAATATGAAAACGTGTAATCCGTGTAAAACCGTGTACACGCCGTGTACACAGTCTAAACGCTACACGTGGCCTTGCCGACCGTGTACCGTTTACCGTTTAGGAAAACATTGGAAGATAAATATATTGATACTAGAGTCTTACAAAGGAATGATATAAGAATATACCAAAGCTCCGAGTACTTCTCTAGAACTTGAGCATCTCTCCCTAACTCCCAACTAATCCTATACTACTTTTACATCTTGACAAATAGAGTGAGGAGAGCCCTTGTGGTGTGTGTTGTGTGAGGAGTGGGAGCCTCCTTTTATAGGTGGAGAGGAGGAGATGTTCCATGGAATATGCCTTTGATCCCCTCATAAAGTGTCCAAACCGACCTCCTAGGTGCACTGAAGCTAGACCAAACCTTGACAATCGACGTAGGTAAGGCGGTAAGAGGCAGCCCACGAAAGATGGGCCAGAGGCATGCCCGTAGGGGTACAGGCACACCAGGGGTGTGGCCGCACCCTGGTGGAGCCATCCCAGCCCAATCTTCGTCTGGTGGGCCACTAGCGATGTATGGGCCACGCCTACAAAGTTTGGTGCCATTTGGAGAAGGTTTGGTTTGGTTCTCGGCCTTTTTCTCCACATGACTAGGCCCTGATTTGCCTGGTAAGTGGGCCTTCTCCCCTTGGGCTCATGTCGGGTCTGTGTTACGCTTTGTCTGAATGTGCATTTTGAACACTTTTTCTATGTTATCCCGATATGTCCTCCTATAAATGAACAATCACCAAAACTTGTGGAATTTGTTAGTTATAAACCCTAATACTAAGTTTGGTGTTTAATTGGGAGGATTTTATGTGAAAGTTGGCGGTTAAATTTATGCATTTAAGGACCACAAATAGTCATTCCCAGATAATGATTTCACTGCAGCGAGTGATCTCATGCTCTTGAGTCGTGCTCAGACACTTTTGTCCCTCATTGGGATGGGCTCGTTACGATGCTAGCCTTGGTGTCTAAGAGTGCCACGCCCATGCTGCTAGCGGGTGAGTCCATGACAACCCTAAGTATACAATCCTTTTGTGCCATGGTCTCAGTCCCCTAGGGGGAGATTCTCTGCTTCCCAACCGAGCCACTCGTATAGTTCCCAAGCCTGCTCGACTAGTGCTCGGGGGCTCGTTGGCTTCCTCATTGGGTCACCATGAGCGGCTCAAGGTCAATACTCGGACATCGTTCGACGGGCGGCCAGTTCTGCTTCTGAGCGCCCGACTAAGGCCACTTGTGCCCACCCATGAACGTCCCTCACACTTTAGGTGCTTTGGGCAGCCTTGAAGCCCTATGGTCCGCCCTTTGAACCGTCGGCTATGCCCCAACTGGGGGCCCCGCGCCGTTGTGCGGCTGGGAGACTTGATCCGTCGATAGACCAAATAAATGAAACTGAAATCAAATAGAAATGAGTGAGGGGAGGATGACATAGTTGGCAGTGCGATGTTCGGTGTAACACCCCAGTGTTAAGCATTGTATTTTGCACTTGCATTTGCATAATCATGAGCATCATGCATGAATCCATCACCATCACATGAAATGATACTTGCTTAATTGCTTGTTTTTCCATGAAATGCTTGATTATGCCCTAATATGCTTAATGATCATGTTTGGTAATGCAAGTGGTTGTTGATGTTTGGTCACTAAAACAACCTATACATGCTTAGGATTGAAAATGGAACAATGTTCATGTTGATGGCATTGCCTAATTAAGCTTCTAAGTGATAGCTTACTCTTAATGACCCTAGGAGGTGTTTTGTTTGACTAGACATGACCAACTAGTTAGAGGCTTTGCATGGTAGTGGGACCTAAATAAAAGTTGTAGATAATTTTATAAGGAACAAACTTTGTTTAAGGGTAAAAGTATGATTAAGTGCCTAACATGCTCAAATATGGCCTTTGCAACTTGTGTTTTTGTAAGAAAAATATGAAATATGTTGTTTGACACTTTTCACTATACTAAGCTATGTTTGCTAAAATAGGCCTTTGCAACTTGTGTTTTTGTAGCAATAGTTATATATGTCTTTTGAACATGTGAAGATGATGTTTTCCATGAATCTTGTCAATAACAAAGTCATAGATAAATTAATTATCTTGCTTGTGTCAAACTTTCATGGCAATAGGCTAATTGGTTTGAAAGTTACAGCTGTTAGAAGTTGGTTTATAAAAATGTTTATTTTCTGGAATTTCAGAAGAGATCTGAAACATTGCTCTGTTTGACTTTGATAACCTTTGAATCATCTTAAGATAACTATAAGAAAGTTGTAGGCAGTTTTATAAGCTTTCCAGAAAGTCCAAAATCATAGTCTTTGGTTATGTATAACTCTGGTTATAGATAAAATAAGTAGCTGATGTTTACAACAGAAAATAAATGAGTCATTTATAGTTGTTTGTCTAATTGAGATTAGTTGTTAGTTGCAGGTGTTAGGTCTCTTACTGCTGATGAAGAGTTGTATCTTAGGTTGATAGAGCTTGGTGAGTGTATGTTCTTGTTTGTAAAAGAGATATGCACCTACTCGGTCAACGAATGTTAACTTTATCATACATCTTATGGATAACCATGTTCATGCCTATCAAATTGTCATCTCATATCATCTCTTATGCATTCATGATACTCATTTGTGCATATTCATACAAATAGGCTCACCAGAAGGCGTGACCCTCTTGAAGTTCGAAGCAATAGGAGAGGAGATCCCGACCGAGACTCGGTAGGAGGCTCCAGAGGAAGGAGACCAGGCTCCAGAAGATTTACCTGAGTGCCTGGATCACCAGCCCACTAGCTTCATCTAAGGCAAGCCCCGGAGCATTCTAAGTCTCCTATGTTTTATAAATCTCAATTGAGTCTTTTATATTTTGATGCATTAGGTGATAGGAGTTGAATGGAAACACTTGATGCATATGATATCCTTGTCTACAAATATATCCTGAATCCTATGTAGGTCCAGGATCGAATAGATGCTTAGTCCTGCTTAATACGGTAGAAGTCTGGTGATTTCCTATCACTTGCGAGATATAGGTGGATACTTGTCACGACTAGTCATCTTGGCTATCGTGGAATATAACCATGTGGTGATGAATAAATGAAGACCGGGTGGGATCTGGTGTTTGGAGAGCAGCAAGGCATGGAGGTCTTGTTTGCATGTTCTATCCCCGCCTATGTCGATTAAGGACCGCATCGTTGTCGTCCACATGGTCATTTTGAACGTATGCCTCTCACTTAGCTATCCGGATAACTCGTTCCGACCACGAAGCTGAGTAGCTCAACTCAGGCCAGAAATCGATCTGGCCTAGTAGCAAACCAAGCGGGAGCGGCATAATAGGCCGTGCGCAAGCATATGACCTGAGTGACCTGGTCCGGGATTGTGGGTAGGCTTATGACTTGACCAACCTGGTACTACCGTCAGTCTCGAGGGGTGCAGCGCTGATCGGTCCCGCGAATTTGGAACCTGAGTTGTACCAAAGGTGACCCGATTCGACCCCGATGGTGGAAGTATGGGTTTGTGTTAGGAATAAATCCCCAGCTGGTTGGAATCGATTCGAATCGTCGTCTCTCTCCGGATAGAGAGAAACTTGACTGTGTCTTCGTCTATCATAGTAAGCAATTGAAAAGGATATGGTTATGATGATGTTACAATAAATGGCTATGGTTACTATTGTGATGATATACAAATATATATACAATATGTTTGGCACAGGATTAGTTGCTAATCTAGAGTTAAATAGCCATAATTAACTACAGGTCAAATAAGCAAAGTATAGCTCAACTAATGGCTCTTTATGCAGAATGTTGTCAAGCTAGCTCTACCTATAAGCCTTGCATAATCCTTGGAGTCAATTTATTTCTAGTTTATGAAGGGTAAGTCTAGCTGAGTACATTCTCGTACTCAGGGTTTATTCCCACTTGTTGCAGATGGCAATGTATATCATGGCTACTGCAAGAGTTGCTTCTATCCCGCCGTGAATGAAGAGTAAGGCTGATGGGCAAGGCCTTCCATAGTACTTATCTATGTGCTTTTGTTGGACATGATCAAAGACTGGCATGTATTGAAACTAAGTGCGTGTGATGGTTTCAAAACTATGTTGCTTCCGCTACTAAATTTTGAACTTGTGTTGTAATAACTATGTTTAAACTCTGATGTATGTTGAAGTACTTGTGAACTTTATGTAACATGTGACATGTATGTTGAATCATGTACGATCTTTGTTGTATGTTGGTTATGAATTGAGGTCCTTCGCGACACTCGATGGACTACCTAGTTTTATATGGGCTCAAGTATGACAGTGCAATCATCTCGGTGGTTGCCATTGTACTTGTGCTCTTATAAGATTGGTTGGTTCTGTGACAGCTAGCATCGGAGCAAGATTCAACATTCTTGTCGTATGTGTAAGTAAAACAAAACTTTTTGTGTTACAAAAATAGTTTTGGTAACTTATAGCTATATATAGGTGTGTTCAAATCTAAAAATTTGAATCTAAAGTGTGCCAGTGATCATTTCCTATACGCCTAGTTAAGGACCTTAGGTGGCTTAAAGTAAGACTAACTTGGGGGTTTATTTACTTACATTATGAATTGTTTTACTATATGCAACGTCGCGCCTACGCCC